CCAACCATACCTCGATAAGCGTGATCGAAACACCCATTTTAATCTGCATTGTCCCGGCATCTGATAGAACGTCGACTAGCTAGCTAACCTCCCGCGATCACAGCAGACGAAACCGTAAAAAAAAAAAAAACAGGAACATTGCTAATCTAAGTTTCGAAACCAACTTAGATCGTTATCTCACTAGTGCTCGACCAACTTAACCTTTTCTCACGCTCATCGTCCAGGGACATGACGAGCAAGATAGTTTTCTACAGGTTGGCCCTGAGGTGAATCTTTTATTGACATGGCGGTCGTTGTATGTGATACGAGTGATTGCCTTGTTGCGCTTGTTAGAAAAACACTCAAAAACGAGGTCGTGGCATATATATATAATCATGTTGTTTTGCTAAGAAAAAATAAAACAATGATATTAAGTCATGGTTGATGATAATAGATTTTTAGATATTAAGATAAATGTAAGATGATAAGGATAAACATATTAAAGCAAATTTGTCTACGAAAATAATTTCTAGTTATACAATATAATAGTCATCATAACAATGAGAACGATGGTAATAATAGTGTCAACAACTAGAATAACTATCATTTATATTTGTATTGTAATTTTATTGTAATAACGAAAGCACCGTGCGCGTTATAATAAACGAGAAAAATACTGAGAAAAAGTATGTTTAAAATGGATAACTTCCCTTGGCAGGAAAAAAAAAATATTGAAAGGCATATCTTTCCAAACATTTCTACTGAAGGTTGTAAAATCGTCATTATCATTACTGCAGCAAAAAAGGAAAATAATAATAATAATAAATAAATAAATAAAATGAATAATAAACAGACATTAAGTTTCCACACATTTCTTTACTAAAGGTTGTAAAATCATCATTATCTTCACTACAGCAACGGCATATAGGCCTATGTGTGATAACGAAACAAGAACCATACATGTTTTGAACCGACGGCTTCGTATCCACCCTCAGTGTTATCAAAGCCAATTGTTCCTATAGATGCTTGGCAACAGTGGCGATAACCTGTCGTGTGCTTGTAGATATCAATCTCTAATATTCTTCTGTACGTATATAAGTATAGATATATGCATACATGCATATGCATATATATATATATATATATATAATATATATTATATATATATATATATATATATATATATATATATGTATATATATATATATATATATATATATATATATATATATATATATATATATATATATATATATAATGTAGATATATATATATAATATATATATATATATATATATATATATATATATATAATATATATATATATATATATATATATATATATAATATATATATATATATAATGTATATATATATATATATATATATATATATATATATATATATATGTAGATATATATATATTATATATATATATATATATATAATATATATATATATATATATACACATACACACACATATATATGTGTGTGTGTTTACATACATACATACACATATATATGTATGTGGGTACGTACACACACACACACACACACACACACACACCACACACACACACACACACACACACACACACACACACACACACACACACACACACACACACACACACACACAAACACACACACAAACGTACATATATATATATATATATATATATATTATATATATATACATATGTATATATGTATGTATGTGTGTGTGTGTGAGTGAGAAAGAGAAAGGGGGCATAAATAAATAAATAAGTGAATAAGTATATAAACGCACACATACACACACACAACCTTGCCTATGTGTGGTTTATTAATAGACAGATATAGATATGAAACATAAGTTTAGAAAACCGTATATAATCAGTATATCAGAATCCTTGATGAGATCGTATGAATTGCGAACATAATATACGGTCCAAAGTTCACTCTGTCTGTCTCCTAAGTGTTTCAAGGGCATAACGTGTCCTTTTAATTCCCTGATAACGAAATATCTACGTTTTTCTCTACGTTTTATTCATTTTTTTTCTTCCATTCAGGGTTAAATGTTCAAGTGAAGTAGGGAATTATTATCGATGAAATTCTGCAAAGAGAGGGATCACTTTGACGTGAAGATAAGGCTAACCTAACCCAAACCTAACCTAACTTATTTTTCTGTTCCTGGTGGACCGTTGGTAGGGAAGGTTGTCTTACCACCCGAGGTATGGTCTCATTGCGAGGTGGTCTTTATAGGGGAGAGGATGTACTGAGATGACTTTATTCCTCTTCCTGGAAAAGCAGCTGGTTCTTAGGTAGTTGGAAAATCTCCGTGGCCAGTTATTGATGCGCAGATTGTCTCTCTGTCTCTCTCTCTGTCTGTCTGTCTGTCTGTCTGTCTGTCTCTCTCTCTCTCTCTCTCTCTCTCTCTCTCTCTCTCTCTCTCTCTCTCTCTCTCTCTCTCTCTCTCTCTCTCTCTCTCTCTCTCTCTCTCCCTCTCCTCCCCTCTCTCTCTCTCTCTCTCTCTCTCT